GTGTGTGTATAAATATATACAGAACGCGAAAAAAAAGTGACGAAACCTCTAAACACATCGCGAAATTTTTTTCATGAAAAAAATATTTCAAATAATATTTTCATAGTTCGAGACCATTGCAAAACGACGACAAGCTTTTTATATCATACATTTTTATAAGATATCAACGTTGTCGTGCTATTTTTGAAAAGCTTAATTCGCAAAAAACCTCTTTCTACAATTCTTTTTTAAAAGAAAAACAAAAAAAATTTAGACAAAAATTTAGCTCTATTCTTTTAAGTCTATTATATGGATATATATGTATACTTGTATACATAATTATTATGTCGATTTACGAACCTATTATGATTTTATTGCTCTACGCTGGTTTTATATTATACATTCGTACAATGCGTACCTCGATACCTCGCAATTTGGTATCGTAATCGATACCTCTTTGGACTCGCTATGAATACGTATTACTCGCTGAAGAGACAAAAGTGCTTTCCCGACCCACGGACCAAGTCAGAGGCCCTCTGAAGCTCTGAACAGTGAAACGGCTCACATCCGAGGAAACGCATCGCGAAGCGGTGCGGATGCGACGATCAAGAAGTTCATATCCCGCGCACGAATACGGGCGCAATGACAGATTTACAGATTCCAGCCATCGCCGTCTTCCTCTACGGGGCGGATTCTTAAAGCGGAAAGCGCGTCTCAACGACCCCCGCACGCACCAACGAGCCAGTGTGCACGTCAAATCGCACCTCGACTGTTTACGCTTTACGTCTGCAACCTTTTCATTTCCTTTCCGACCCTATCTTACCGCTCGACTCTCTTTCGCTTTCACCGTCGACCGCTTTGCCTCTCTCCTCCTCCTCCTCCCCAATCATTACTCGCTTCTGTATTTTGACTTCCCCCCCAACACTTGGTAAACTTTTCCTTTTGCGTAAAAGTTATTTAAGTCTGCGAGAGAGAGAGACAGACGCGCGGGTAAACATTCCAGCGAGATTTTTATCAATTCTTATTAACTTACTCATCACATCGATCAAGCTAATCGATCAATTACAATCTTATTTATTTTACAACTTTTACTTCTTATTACGATTAGGTAAGCATTTTTGTGTCAACATTATCAACTCGCTTGCAGTATCTGTTACATATATGTGTAGAAGAGAGGTATGGGAAATTACTTGGTAAAAGTAATTACTAATTAGTTACAGTTTTTTTCTCCCAAAAAGTAATTACCATTACAAGTACTTGATTCTGAAAAATAACTCGTTACAGTTACAGTTACTGAAAAAGTGACTTTCAGTTATTTTTTTCAGCAGAATTTGCAGTAGAACATCACGAATAACATCAATACCATTCAGGGCTGCATTCAGAATCGTTATGTACTCTTATTGTTCATTTAACATTAAACAAGAATGATACTCGGGGTCATCAGAGTAACGAAACCTCAAAGAAAACGATTCTGGTTTACGTTTACACGTTACATGTGATGCCATACAATTTTATTTAAAAAAAAAAAAATAATTCTGTGGCAAAGACTTTCTTTTGAATTAGCTTCAGCACTAGCAATGAATATAAACGCAGCCATAATCAATCACATATAAGTTACGGTCTACTTGATGCTACAAATGGCAGTGTTCAGCAGAAAAGGCAGCTTTCCTAATTGATCATTTCCTGATTGATCAATTGGAATGTTTCAAAGCATTTGCAGGTCTTTGTCAAGTGGACCGCACACTAGATTGACAAATAAGTTGACAAATGAATTTGAAATATATCAAGTAATTATTAAATTAGTTATTAGTTACTTAAAAGACGTAGCTAAGTTAAGTTACAGTTACAGATGGAAAGAAAGTAACAAAGTTAAGTTACAATTATCGAAAAAAGTAACTCTTAACTGTACAACTAACTTTGTTAAAATTAAGTAACGAGTTACTTCCCATCCCTGATAGGAGATCGCCCCCTTTTATTCACGACCAAGTATATAGGTAAAGTAAACTTGTGTCGCAGACACGGTCACGGTCCGCGTCTGTCTTCGCCTGTTCCGCTTGCTTGGATAGTTTTCATTCTCTCGCCGATAGATACGTCCGTCTTCTTCCTTTTTTGAACATCTGCTTTGGCATTCGTTAAGTACCATGTACGTACTTTGGGGTTTATATTCGAAAAATATAAATATTTCGTACATATATATACATATGCACACGATCAGACTTTAAGAGCATATAGAACAGGCTTGTCCAATTTAAATTCCACTCAATGTGCGTAAGATTTCAGAGACTGTTAAGTGTTGATACACCGAGTGACTCTTATCAACCCTTAACAATTCCCGAAATCTTGCCCACATTGAATTTTTTGCGTCAATGGCTTTACGTTTTAGCTTTGGAGCTCAAATTGGACAAACCTGATAGAACAACAAAAAATAAGTCAAAAAGTCCTAATAAACATAAGTTCAAAAACGAACGGTTGCCAAGATATCTCTTGATCTTTATGTTTAAATAATACATTTCTTTCTTCAAATCGACTTAATAATAACGTAACGCAGGAAAAATGTATTTACTATTTATTTTTTAATTATTCTTATTTATTTTTATTATTCTTAAAGTATATGTTTAAAGTGTCCACCTTTCATATCTAAACAAGCTTTACATTTTCTCAAGAAAGACGCCCTCACTCTTTCAAAACGAGCTTGCTTGGAAATGTATTGTTGAAACACAAAGGCCAAGAGATATCTTGGCAACCGTTCGTTTTCAAATCTATGTTTATTAGGACTTTTATATATATATATATATATATACTGTTGTTTTTTGCTCTTATTTTTTCCTTTACTTATTTAAAACTGCATTTTGTAATTTTAATTTTTCCAAGATTGCACTTATTTAAGGTCTAAAGCCTTAAGGATTGAGAACCAATCGTGGCGGCATTTATATAATTGCAATAAAATCTTAACGTAATCATTTTACCGCGAAACAATGCATCGTGGAAATGTTGATAGAAATGTGAAGAAATGTTAATATTGGCGCCAAGCACGCGTTTTGTTAGTTATAAAGTTGTGTGATTATTACAATTATTATTGATATACGTGCTCGTGCGAAACAACCATGGCTTTTTGTTATTATTAACGGTATATATCCGATGCGAAATAACGATAATTTTTAGTCCTAGTTTACATCAGTTATTATATAGTTAATACGTGTATCAAGTGCTCGGTGTAAACTAGGCTTTACTTTCAAAGAAATTTATTATATCGGGGAATGTCAATTTTGTAGAGGCACGCTTTAAAAAAAAATGGAAACTCGCTCGGTTTTATCACAATTAAATTTATGCTTTGAGATTTTCATTGTAACGAAAGAAATGCTCGTTGCTGCATATAGAGAACATTTAGGATTTTTATTTCTTATCCGTTAACAATAATTTTGTCAAATCTGCAAATAATTTCGCTATACAAATGATAAATTGTTTCGTTGCATGCAACGGCAAATCGCAGTTGCCCGCACAATGGAGGATTCTATTTCACTTTAACAGCATATCCGCGCGTGTTCTTTATACGACGAACTGCGTACTCGACAAGAATTTTTGAGAGAGATTTCGCTGCGATATCGAATAATTTATTACGCGTTAGCAAAGCTTGATATATCGCTTTCGCGTCGAATTTAATTGCGACGTTAGCTGCTCGTTGTAGCTGCAATTGTGCGGCGCGACACAGCAAACCCTATCAATTCTTTCTGTAGGTGCATAAAATTTTTGGAAACGTTATTGTTAATAAACTTAATATATGGCTCTCTTTTCTAGCGAATCGGTTCAACAATTGCAAAGTCTGCAGATGGGAGATGTTGCGGAGAAAAGAGGAAACGGGAATTAGGTGAGGCGTAATTTGGCGATAGTTGTGGTCTCGTAGTTGACTCGCGGTCGCGACGTACTCGGCACGCATATCCTATCTCGCCGCTGGAATCCTCATATGTCTGTCAACGTGGCCCTCCAACTCCAACACCTCGGGGCTTCGCCTCGGATCGGATCACTTTGCTCGCAGCTCGCGACTCACGAGCGGGTGGCGGGTGCGCTACGTCGAGAGACGCGCACAAACGATATCTCGCTCTCGCTCTCGCTCTCGCGCGTGTCCTGTCCTATAGCACTCCCAGCACTCCCAGCACTCCCAGCAGCCCTAGCTGGACCAAAATATCACCGCGCCCGCGGCAACCAGCGGCAACTGGAGACCGGTCACCGGAGACTAGTGGGCAGGGATTCAGGGCCGTATCACGGTATATTCGCTGCAGGATGTTGTATTGAGCCCTTCAATCCTCTAGCTATGTATTAACAAGTTCATTCTCCATTCGGACTTGTAGTACTTGTACTTTGTACTCGTTTTAGGCGTTCAATTTCCATATTAAAATTATTATCTCGAGATAACGGAATTAACTACAATTGCCTATACGCGTGTAATGTCCATCCTTATCCATTCTTATACGTGTATCGTAATAAAAACGAAATGTCAAATGCATTAATTTGTTATATACACATACAATATATATATATATATATTTTTCTACTTACCACTGCTTACCACTTACCAGTCGAATTATGCGTGCAATTTTCCAACTCTACGTCCGTGCTCGTTGCAGAATCATACAAAATAAACTTTCTAAGACGCAAGTTTGCGTCATTTATTTCATGTGTATCTTTAAATGTGAAAAATACATTTAGAATTTTCATTTTTTAGCTTTTCAACTGTCGCTTTCCAACTTGCTTTCCAACTTGCTACGCGAAACGACTCGGACAGGGCGAGATGGCGACACGTGACACTGAGAGCAGTGAGAACACTGAGAACTGGTGAGAACTGAGAGCAGGCGTGCGTTGCGTATCATACGTCGGTAACGTTATTCGTATACAAATAGACTGCGTTCGGAAACATCACTCGAATTTGCACTGCGGTATCAACTGATATGCATGGTATGTACGATCATCATATGATATCATGGACGATGTGTACACTTGTACAGGATACGTGCGTACACAAATAATTTCAAAAAGACAAAAAGTATCTTCGTTAGAAAAGAAATGAGATGTGATGTGATATGCACGAGGTTGCATTCGACAGATTTGCAATAAATAAATATTGTCTGCACTACCAAGTGCTTCATATTCAAGCTTATAGTGATCTTTGAGACGAATTCCGTTACATAACCTCAATCACATTTGATCTCATTGACTAGATTCTACTTAGCGCTAATCAAAATGAGTAAGTACCAATGTAAACTTAACTCATCCTCCGATTTTACAAACAAATCAAATAAAACTCTAAGAAATGTTTTTTATTTTCCAAAATAAAAATTTCTCAAGTAGCAAGTTTTTCCAATCCTTTTTCTAAATCATTTGTCTTTTCTTGTCATTTCTATCATATTTCATATCAATTTTATTCCTTCAGATTCCATTACGGACAGCCCGGGTTCTAAAGCTCTTGAAGCCGCTAAAAATATCAAGGACTTGACTGTATTCAAAAAGCCTATCGGATCCGTTAAGAGGAGCAAAAGTGTACAACCAAAGATTTTAGATGAAGATACATATATTGAAAAAATGAGTGACATTATACAAAAAGATTTCTTTCCGCACTTGGAAAAGCTACAGGCACAAAATCAGTATTTAGAAGCTTTAGAGCAGAACGATATGAACAGAATGAGAGAGTTGTACGCCAAGTATAGCTCTGGCCGACCTGTCACCGAAAGACCGATCAGTCCAGCGACTTTCGAAACTCCGCTGCGTAGAACTGAGTCAGCCGAATCGCCGCCTACCACCGAGGCATCGTCTCAAAAAACAGACATCGTCGAGTCTGTAAATAGAAATGGTACTGAAAGTAAGATCGGTCTGGATGATTATTTGAGTAATCACACAAGCGAGGATAATGCTAGTTTCGAAGAGATGATGATTGAGGCTGAAAATAAACGTAAGCTCAAGTATGCCTGGCTTTACGAGGCAGAAGATAAGTCGAAAGCTTGGCTAGCTATCGACGGATCCTCCACCACCACCACACCTGACGTCCCAGCTATCCAAGGATCCAATCCCAGACCCAAACAAGTGGACAGTTGGACTTACAAGAATAAAAATTATATTATGTACATTCCCGACGGGGTGGAACTTACAGCGGAAGAGAAAATAGAATTGGCCAAGAAGAAACAGACTATAATGCACGAAAATACGAGATTGCGAACAAATCCGTTTAACGAGCAACAAAATAAAGAGACCATCGACGAACTCGCCAAGTCACAATCCAGAGCTAACGACGGCAAGATTGGTGTGGATGGCAAAGAGGTTGTCAGAAATGCTACGCCACGAGTGAATGGTTTTAGTTTCGTGGCTACGCCAAGTCCGAGACCGGGAGAATGCGAAAGTCCGTTGATGACATGGGGTCAGATCGAGGGGACACCCTTCCGATTGGATGGTGGTGATACACCATTGCTGAGGACGAGTCAGGGACCCTCTTTCAGAATAGCGGAACCACCGAAAAGAGAACAATTAGCATTGCAGTTGGCTGAGAAGGCTGGCGAGAGACACAGGGATCGAAAAAATAAAGCCTTGGAAGCTGCCAGGAGATCATTAGCCACGTAAGTGATATTTACATGTTATATAAATTTCGCGAAATGAATAAATGTTGCCGAATGAAATAAATAATGTATAATGTACATGTGAGAAAAATTTACGAGAGCAATTATTCTTTCCAGTCCATCACCGAGATCAACCATAGATCGTCTGAGTACTATGTCTCCCGCGGCAAGAAGACTAGCGACTCAGAAACTGCGCATATCGAATACACCATCTCCTCGACGAACGCCATTGTCTAGGACTCCGTCTGTAGGAGGTATCAGAACACCTAATACGCCACGTGCGAACGTACTGGCTAAAGAAATCATCTCTCAAAAGTCGGAAATTAATGCCACGCGGATACAAGGACCCGTACTCACCGATAATTTACTTAATCTACCTCCGCAGCGACAACGAGCGTCAGATTTCTTCAATAAATGAGAAATTGTTATATGCTGTCTGAAAATTGTATCTAGAAAGATCGCGCACGTGAGATTGTATATAGTAAACCGACCGAATTTGCTTATCTACTACAATTAATATAACATATTAAAGAGAGACAATCTCCGCGTGTGTGTGCGTGTATATATATTGTGTAAATGATGTATTTATAGCGTTTGTAATATAATTTTAACAAAATTCTTTTAATTCGAGTCTTATTGAATGTCGCTAGTCCTCTTACGATGGAATCACACGATTCTCGATTTCTTGAATAACATACGTGCATGCAGTCGTACCTACTCTGAGCATGCTAGACTTGCTAGAGAATACGTTCACGCATTGAGCGTTGCATACTGACGTGCATAATTTCTCATTTCTCTATGTACGTACATACATACAATTTTTATACACGATTTCATGCTTGTTTCCTAATTTGATTTTTAGGCTTTCTATATTTGAAATTTTTATCAAAATCATGTATTGTATCATTCTTTAATTTTCGATTCGTCGAAAAAGAATGCAAAGGATATATAAATCTTCTACAAACACTCTCTTTAACAACACTGTACAACTATGAAACAATTTTCGAAATATTTTGTATCATATACGTACGTGCGTGCGTGCGTGTGTGTGTGTGTGTGTGTGTGGAAAATGAAATATTTTACAATACTGTACATTTTACAAGAAATTCTTACCTTCAGCTTCTTGTGATACAATATTATGAAATTATCCTGAGATATTTTCCCGATATTATCTTAAGTCTTTAACATTATGTTTTATCGCATTGATGGTACATGTTAATTTGTTCCCTTATAAAAACGGTATATGGATAGCAGTATTAAAAGAACTGGGGAAAAAGAAGACTTGCGCGGTCGTAAGATTAATGATCTTGACCCGTTTCTTTCATCATTCATGGAAACCCGTGTGCATTCTTCACTCTCATCCTCTCCATGGCAGCTCTCCGTTTTGTTTATCGTTAATTACATAAATACGGAAATGAAATTAAATCACTCAAGACGATTCGCGCGTTTCCTCTACAACAAAACGGATGATTATCTTTGCGGTGAGTGAACGCACCATGAAGCTATACATATAAAACGAGCCTTTTCACACGGTTTATTCGAACGTGTGAATTCAGGAAGTGACAATAAAGCCATAATAAATTCTTCGCATAAACGTTGCAACAGGAAGTATTCGCGGGCATATCCAAGTCGTCCAAACAATCATTGTTGATCAATTGCAAAATCGCCGCGCTCGCTAAAGAGCCTGGCGGCTTATCATATAAATATAAGGTCAGGAAGAAGAAGAGGATCGAGAAGAGAGAGAGAGAGAGAGAGAGTATTATCGTTGAGACAGATATGAGGTCCTCTCTGAGCCTAGGAGCAGCCTTGCTCCTGACGATAGCGATCATCCGGTCATGCAAATCGGAACATACGTGTGGACATTTAGGCTCAGGTACGTTGATTGCATTCCTAATTTATTCGTTAATAATCGTTCCCATCGATACGTCGCGTTGGAATTCTTTGAGGAAAAAGAAAGACTCCTCTATATACATGTATATATGTGTCATGCCCATATCTCCTTTGATTCTTTAGGCACTAACGCGTGCAAATGCGGAGAAATAGTGGTGAAATCAGCAAAGGTGCAAAAACCGCTGTTCTACGCGTCGCCGGAAGCAATCAACGAAGCTGCAGTGGCACGCGAAGCGGTTGGAAGATTGTCCGTGGGAACGGATCGGTGGCAGTCTGAAAATCTGGCATCTACTCCCAAATATAAACCATATACCGGTGGAGCGTTTAGCAGCAGCAGCAGCAGCAGCAGCTCTTCAAGGTCCTCGTCTTCCATCGGAATTCTTGGAGGATCGATCGGCGGAAGCAACGCTCACTCTGCACCCTTCACTCTTGTCTCGGATAGAGTTACTTCCAATTGCGGATGCGGAAAGGGTCATTCCGAATCTCTGGAGGTTCGCGATCTCCTATCCTCTAATATTGAAGGAAAAGTCGTGCCCAGGTATTTCATACCTCATGTATTCATATCGTTTCATATGATTTCACCGTTACATTATTCTTATTTGACGATTTCAACTTTCAACGTTCGTTGACAGTTTTCCACCGATCGGCGATCTGTGTTACCCGAGCCCGCCTAGCAATAAATTCCAGGTGACCACCAAAGTGACGCCTGCATATCCTGGTAAAATCAAATGCGCCCCTCCCATTCCTTACAAGGTTTGCGTCAAAATACTCAATGGACAGATCGACGAGGCTGGATTGAGGGAACTCGGTTTAGCAACCGATGGATCAATCGGCGGGAGCGCGAGTATTTTCGACAAATATATTTCAAACGATGTAGCCAAGTTGGCTACGCGATACGGATCGCGCGCGGGTGCCGGCGCGGGTTCGACCACATATGGATCGTATTCAGGTGCCAACGCGGGTTCGATCGCATACGGATCGTACGCAGGTGCCAGCGCAGGTGCCTCCGCCGCATACGCGGGTATCGGACGATCGAGCGTTGCGACGTCGAGCAACGTCGAGACGATCCAAGGATCGAGCAGATCTACCTATGATTTTGGCGATGATGCAGGTACGTCTCTCAATCAATTTAACTTGATATATATATATATGTGTGTGTGTGTGTGTGTGTGTTTATGATTATCTATACAACTAACAATAAGATACAGAGTACCTCTTTTCTGAAATCTTTCCGTTTACCCTGCACATATATATTTAACTTGATATATATATATATATATATATGTGTGTGTGTGTGTGTGTGTGTGTGTGTGTGTTTATGATTATCTATACAACTAACAATAAGATATATACAGAGTACCTCTTTTCTGAAATCTTTCCGTTTACCCTGCACATATATTCATTATAATCAGTCAGACTTGAGTGAGAATGTAATTTCACACAGTTATAAAATAGAGTTGTAATATACATAATCCAGTTATTCATGACTCATTGATATAAAAGCAAGATGTAGGTGAGATGTAGGTAACGTTTTGCTTGTTTATACTTTAGAGCTTCCTGAAGACTATTCGTATCCTCGACTGCCAGCGGATCCGGTGTCAGTCACTTTAGCGTATAAGAATTTCTTCCCGCGTACCGTCTACTACAACAAGAGAGCATTCGTGCCGGAAGACAAGCTGGCGTTCGGTCATCGAACCGTGCCGACCGAGTCGACACCCAGCAAAAATGTGCCGGACGTTCCCGAGGAAAAGCTTCAAATCCTCAAGAAACCCATTGTAGAGTTGAAGCCGGCTCTGCCACAGGCGCCCACCACCATCGGCGCTTACGACGAGCACGAAGAAGCGAAATTGGCGGAGCTCGAGGCTATTGAGCGCGAGAGGATAAATCAGGAGGAGGTCGCCGAACGGCTGCAAGAGAACTTCATTACGTACGGGTAAGTCGAAAGAGAGGAAGAGAATTTTACGTATACAACTTCATCGCGGCTCGGACAATTCTGATCTCGATCGACATCTTCGATTCGGTGATTTTGGCAGAGATCAACTAACGACGCGATTCTCATCAGGTTCGTCCCACAATCGAATCAACTTGCCGGATATATCTCTCAACGTATACTTACGGGCGTATTCTTTACGAATCTTGCTATCATATTATATGTCTATGTTGCCTTTAAAGCTAGTATCGAGCGAATGCTAATCCCGAGATAAATATGTATTTTGGCGAATAATTGCTTTTAGAGACCTAGGATACGCGCCAATCAACACCGCGCCCTTATCGGCAGATCCTATTGGCGTATTCAACAACAATGTGGAAGACGATACCCGCGGAGCAGACTACGGTTCGGTAGGACCACCAGATCCCGATTACGTTCCTGGCAGCGTCGTGATCAATCGAGAAGAAATCGTAGGAAACAGAGGCCAAGTCGAAGATGACTCCTCGAGAAACAACGACAGTTCAGACATCTATGTTCGTCATTATGACGAAATTAGTGACGACGACGACGAGGAATATGACAACGACGAGCCCATGTCCGGTATATTCGCCAGACTGAAAAATGTCGCCCGAAAGCACGGTCGTTCGTCATCCTCGTGTGGAGCCGTATGATCTTCCGAACGATACGAAATGCGTAAAAAGGACTCGCCTTATTGACGATTCGCGATTATCGAAATGAATCTTGATTGATTCTCTTGAACGCGCGAAGACGTGTGTTGGACACTCTCCAAAATATTACACTAGTCTCAGTCCTGTGTCTTTGTGATGTTATTGTTATAAGATAATATAGCAGTTGTGCGAGAGTCAAATTGTTGATTTTATTATACAGTTCCCAAACATCCTTACCATTCTCCTCTGGTAAACAATTTTTTATTTATCAGTATAAACGGGGTGTTGGATAAGTAACGATAAAACTCTCGTATATAGAGGTAGAGCGGACTGAGTCGAAAAGCCCTCTACCATTTTACAATTTTCGCAATATAGTTGACAAAATATTAATTATTCGCCGAATATTGCTTTCCAATCATTTTTTTACCCGAGTACTATCAATTTTACAGAAAAACAACAAGTGACGAAAATTGTTTATTTTCCTCTCATAGAGTTCTGAGAATTTTTTTAGAATTTTTTAGTACCGCATTTTCTCATGTTGGAAAAATGGTTGTTGATAAGAAAATGCAGTACTAAAAAGTTAATAAAACATTCTGAGAACATTTGTAGAACTCTATGAGAAGAAAATAAACCATTTTTGTCTTTTGCTATTTTTCTGTAAAGTTGATAGTGCTTGAGTAAAAAAATTATTGACGACTAATATTTTTTTGATGAGTTTTAATAATTGATATCTAATTGTTAATTATTATTGTAAAATGGTAGAGAACTTTTCGACTCAATTTAATCCGCTGTATACCTCTATGCGAGAGTTTTATCGTTACTTATCAAACACCCTGTATATAAACATGTATAATCATACCTATAAACATCACGCATAAATATTCACAATCATATATAATTATACATGAAACATCTTTCTTTTTTTCGTAAAATTACTTTTTAGTGTACTAAAAATAATAATAATATTGAGAAAACATCGAAATTAGTTAATGGGACAACTTCCGCATTGATTGTTTGAGGAAAAATTAAATTTGAAAAAATACAAACAAATTCGTTCACATTCATAACTATGTATAATTTTATGTGATTTATATTATACGTATATGAGCAATTCTTTTATATTTCTCAAACAATTGATTTTTTCTAAAATAAACTATTTATAAAACAAAAATTTTCCCGTTTTAATTATTTTTGATGTTTTTTTTTATTATTACTATTATTTTTAGTACACTAAAAAGTAATTTTACAAATGAAAGAAGCAATATATGAATATGTATAGACATATCTCATACGTAATTAATATATATAATATATGTTTGTGAATATTTATACATGTTTATGTATATTTATACATATTTATATATATATATTCATGCATGAAAAATATTTTATCGGGCTCTCTCTCTCTCTCTCACTCAGAAAAATCTCTATATGTATGTATTGTGCGTGCGCGCGCGTGTGTTAAATATGTGATCCAACGGTCCATATGTATGCCTGTGTCCGGATAAAAGATTAAGAGAAAATCCAACTTGCGCACGTGCACAATTAAAATAATGAAATTGTCATTTATACATGTGTGTATATATTTTTAATGACACAATAATTACGTATAATTTCGTATAACTTTACAAATCAATTTTCTTTATTTCTATTTTATTCCGACATTTTATGAATCAAATTTAATCGAACATTGGAAAAATTTTCTAATAAATTATTGTACAACAAACTTTAAATACATCTAATAAATTTCTACTATCAAACAATACAATTCAAACAAATGATAATTAGAGTAGTCAGCGCAGATATAAGTCGCGCAGATAAATTTGACATTCGCTGAGGATGACTCCAAAGTGAGTTGAAACGTTTGAAATATAAATAAAAGTTCTGAGTAATTACCTACCTACATTTCTTAATTTCACGCTCATGTATCTCAGCGTTGATTCTCATTAACCTTTGTTTGAACTGTATTGTTTGTTTAAGATTGAGAGTCTCTTTCCATTATTGATATTGATTTAACTTTGTTTCTACTATCAACCTGACATGCTTTTTACTATATACAAAATTGTCAAACTTTTCTATTTTATTATGTACTTACATATACTTGCACTACTTTAATATTAATATTACTAATAAAAACTTTGTAATAATAATCTTATTTATAACAACAACAGAAGGATTTATAATAATGATTATACAGATTATCTTTGATAAAAGGTTCACTCAGACGACACGTTAAAGGTCAAACAGGTTTCCGTTTATATTCTACAAATGCGTGTAGAGAAGATTTATGATCTCCCTTCTACTTCCTCGGCCAAAACACGACCGTCAACACGTCATAAAGTGTTTCACTCAGAAAAAGGGAAGCACACCACATGGTGATGTACGATGATCGCCGCGATGGAAACAAATCTAATATATGTCTCCGAGAGAAAGAGTGGATCTCGGAGTGTGCAGCAGCTATTTAAAGATACTCCACGCGAGTTCAAGCGTTTCTCTTCGTCAAGACATCTTTTCCCTTTTCTCTTCTTTCTTCGCGAACGCGTACGTGAAAATTTACGATTCGTATGCGTCGAACTGATTTACCATATTTCATTTACATACGTGGTATATAAATTACAAACAGCAAGACGAATGAAACAAAGAACCGAACAAAACGACTGCGAGCGAAAAAAATAATAATTTATCATTTGAATACAGACAATGCGGTATATCATTTGTTTTAAATGTAAAATTCTATGTCGATATCTATAATAGATATCAAAGTATCCTTTTATCACGATCAGTTTGAATATCTTCTAACCTTTCGTAATATAAAAATATGCTTTAGAGAAATGTGCTTCAAAGAAGTATATATTCTCATGGAATCGAGAGAATAATGTTAATATTTGAGAGATTTCAATATCGATAGGTACTTATAAATTTAATCTTTTTAGCATCAATTTTTCTCATATTATTCTAATATATGTATATATATGAGAGAGTATATTAGTTGATATAGCTATCCAAATGTGAATAATATACAAATAATTGTAAATCCGTTTTTTATTTTCCAACATACTCTCACATAAAATATAAAGTTTTTGATAAATAACGTATCGATTTCTTTATAGGTAGAAAAAAATCGATTTACGTAAAGACTTCGATACACACCTTTTTCTTTTTTTTCTTTTTTTAAGTATGACCTTTTCTCTTTCTCTCTCTGCAATCGTAAAGATAATATGAGTCTAAATGATCTTATATACAATGGATTTATAAATAAATAAATTATATATATAAATATAAAGTATATGTATATACATTATATGTGTATATATATATATATAAAATATAGTTTATTATAAATTCATAACGTTTATTAGTTTATTAATAAATTAGCATACGTGGCGTTCATTTTTCATTTTTAACGATAATTATCTAGTAAGTAAGTTGATTTGAAGATCTAAGTTACACAGGAAATGAGGAAGCCTGCATGGACACGCACCAAGAAAAGTACGTGCTTATTCCATCTTTCAATTAAATTTCTCAGCCTCGCGGGACACGTAATAACGAAAAGTTATTATTTTGTTATTGTTAAAGATTTATCGCTGTGGTTATACCTAAACAGGAAATATTTCATGAATTTGTCTTCGGCGAAACCACTTGTATATCAGGAGCGCGGTGTATATGGAATATCAGTTTAGGTTTTGTAAATCCTTGTGACGATGACGGCGGTATTCAAAGTACAATTTTTTATCATTATCATCGTCTGTTTCCATTCAAAGTTTTCTTACGGCTTCAAATTGCCGTACAATGGTGTTAAAATAGTTACATACGGCGAGCCATGTCAATCACCACGTTATCTACCTGTTTCAATTGAGGTATATGACACATGATATATGTATATATATATATATATGTGTGTGTGTGTGTGTGTGTGTGTATATATATATATATACATATATCTTATCATATAGTACAGCATCCATCTTTTTTAGACTCGATGCACATTATAACTTATTAACATCAAAGAATTATCAATAATCAAGAATTAATTATTCCATTTCTTATGACGTGCAACATTTCAGGCATGCTAGCCGCCTTATGTATTATATAATAACAATATCTATATATACATCTATTCTCCAATTTTACTACATAATAAACATGTCTAAGGCCGGAATGAGACTACGCATTGAAAATTGAGATTGTAGATTGAAATTTAACCAATAAGAATAAGGAAATTTTAGCTTTTATTGCTTGGATTGGTTAAAAATTTAAATCTTTCAATCTTCAATTTCAATCTTCAATGCTTAGTCTGATTCCGGCCTAAGTAGTTAATATTGTTATTCCATGAATATGTATCAGTAAAATAATTTACAGGAACCTGCGAAGCCTGTGACGGAATTTGTTTCATCTAAATCTTGCGATCATCAACCACTGAAATTAAATTATCGAGTCATCTCTTCTAAGCCGATCCCTTATCAACCGCGAATGGAATATCCAATTTTTGTACAAGTACCTCAAATGCCACAGCCCTCGGAAATAATTACACCGGATCCTCTTCGAGGGAAATCTTATGCATACAACATCCAGGCTCTACCACCTCCGTCTGTGCCAATTTCTAGGAGATACGATTTCGATTTTCAAGTGCCATCTTCACCTTCACCAATTTCGTAAGATTTTCCTCTTTTATTCTTTCTTTTATACTATATTTATAAAAGAACAAATTCCATTCACCACAATTACAGATTATATGTATCTATACAATCCATCCGGAATTATTATAAATTATTTTATATAAATATATATGTATATATATATATTTATTTATTTGCTAGTTCTCTTTTCATTATTTTGCTAATATATAGCGAAATTTGGCATCTTTGCCAAATAAAAATTCAGATTATTTTCACTGAAAAATGTTTTATCAACAATCAACATTTTTATTTCAGAGTGCCAACGCCACAATCTGTTAATCTGTTAACCGGCCTTACCAGTAAAATCGACAGAATTTTAATCCCCGCCTGTCAAGTGACATCTAGCTGCTGTAATACGGCATGAAATTACTTAATTCTGTTAACGCGGTATCTCTCATCAAGTGAGAAATACATAGTATTCGACAGCAAAAAATAAAGAGAGATTTTAGATAAATAATTCTAATTTTTAGCAATCCTTTTACTCTCCTACCTCCTATGTATTCCTTCTTTTGTCTTTAACTTAAAACGGTTGAGATATATGTCTTATATATCTTTAAATATCATAAATTTTAAATGTTTTTTTTAACAAACAATAACAAATATAGTTTTTTCTTTAAATCTGTGCTTTATTTGACTAATTTTAATATAAATGTATATTCACATCCACTCGGTCAGTTATAACCGATCATAGAATGCATGAGGGCCATGAATTCGAATGGGAAAACGTTGTTATTTTAGATGAAGAACGTCATTATACGAAAAGATTGATTTCTGAAATTTTATTTATTTATTAATCAAAACACAAACAAAATGTTTAAACTTACAAACAGAAGAAACTTACATACTGAAGGTCTCCACAGAGCTTGTTTCCCAGTTATCGACAAATTGACTCTGTAATAATATTATCGATTCATCAGTCAGTGACAGCTGTAGAATGTAGTGTCTTGTAAATTATTCATTTTTATTTTTATTTTTTAACTAAAACTTTTGAACAGTCGATTTATATACATCTTTACTTTGAACATTTGAATAAGATCTACCATTAGTTTATTACATTTTATTGATGCACATTAATTGATGCACACATGAGATACAATGACACCTCCACCAATGCTCATGGTGAGTAACTTTCATCACAATTGTAATTATTACAGTCATTTCCTCTTATTTATGGTTATTTCATAATAAAAATAGCATTTTGGTTTTTATATATATTCGGTCGATTAACCGTCTGGGAACCATGTGTAAGCGTTTCAACGGAACTCTTCTGCAATTGTTCAAGAATTAAGAAACGTACAATCGAAAGTATACGGACACAAATAACGCAATTGTGCATACATACATCAATGAATAATTAATAGTTGCAAAATATTTATCATCGTTATCGAATTCTTTGAAGAAGGCTCGAAAATGAGCCGAAACATTTAAGATGTATTATATTATGTGTAACGGAATATAATAATTCGATTATTAAATAGAAATTGTTTATTGTGAGCTGATTTATCGCGCTCGACTCTTATGCACCCTTTATCGTTTGTAATTATTTGACGTTGTTGTATTAAATATAGCTAGAAGGTTTTATACAATTTATATATTTTATTTTATAAATTTAACATAACACGTGTGGTAAAATTAGGTTAATATAAAAGAACCGAATCGACATAATAGCAAAATTGATTATATGATGTCAATATAATACGATTTGATTCTTATATCTAAATAAAAATCAATTGGCTTACACGTATGTGTGTGTGTACATAAATTGTTTAACCTTACATCGTTATTTATAGCTTGCAATACTTGCAACATACATCTATAATATCAAGATTATAAACCAAATTTTTTTCCGCAAAGATAATATAATAAGCGATAATAGTAGAGGACAAGGTGGTATTATGGCATCTCCCAGTTACATTTTACACAATAACTTTGTTGATAATCAATATTTAAGTTTAAAACTTGACAATTACATTCGTTAAAATGTTGTTGAATCAATTCTGGACTCAAAGTTACGAAATATTTATTACTTAGGATACTATTAATAAAAATGTGGCGACATTTTGCATAATGATTTGAAGAAAAAAATGGGTGGTAATGTGGCCTTCCTGCACATAAAAATAGCCTTAAAATATTAGTTTTGTTTAGAAAACAGTATTTGGTTACAAAATTAACAAAAAAGTAAAACATTTTAAAATGCAAATGAATGTGTACTTGTATATACATTTACATATATAACTCTTCTGCATATATAAGCTGCTTAGTACTAAAAGTCTTAGTACTAAAAATAGTACATGTAATATAAACTATAGATTAACAGTAGAGCTATAATTGATTATCAAATAATTATTTTGATATAAAAACCTTAAAAAAGAGGTCGTGAGTAATTAATATCCATAGAAGGCCACATTAACAAAATGCCATGCTATTGTTTAAATTTGCATAACTCAAAATATATACAGTCAAATAAAATATTTTAATTAGCAAATAACACATTCAAAAATACATATATTCATGTGATAATACGCTCAAGTTTAAGAAAAATGAGGAAGTAGATGTAATTAAATGCTAAAAAGTACCTCAGAAATGTTTCGAAATACTTGAAAGTAAAAATGCGTTATAATTAGTGCTGACTATTGAGTATTGGTATATTAGCGTCATGGCGTAACGGCGAGCTATTGAATAAATAATTCCATAAGTAATCATTAGGATTCGCTATATAATAGCGGAGACCACAATATACATATACATTATACCATCTTCTCCTCTATTTAAATGTAAAGAAAATTCATAAATGTGCGAGTAAGTAATTAGTGACATATACATATATGTACATTGTACATATATACATATTTCCAAATCTATACGTTATATTATACGAGATATCAAAAGCTAAGCCAATTCATGTGGAAAATATTCAAATTTTCATCGATTTATTATAATAGTTTCTCTTCTTTATTTACAATTTATGTCATTAAATATCCAGTCAGTTAAGTTTGACAAAAATAAATTTTGTCAAATGCTCGTTACACAAATTTTTTCGACAATAAAGCAATTTAACAGAATTTGATGCAAATTCTATTATATTCTGTTGTAATGTCAGCAAATTAATGACAGATGCACAATAAAATCTGTTGACGTAACATGAATAACAAATTGTCGGCAAAACCATGCAAAGCTTCCGATAACTTGATAGCAAATTGACAGCAAAAACGATTAAATCCAAAACCGACTAAAACTTTGCTTGGTTTTTTCTGTCAATTTATTGTCTGCTTAAGTACACAGGCTTTGCTAGCAAAATATGAATTTATTGCTGACACACAGAGATGGTACCGAATTTGTCATCAATTTCTGATCGAATTTGACCCTAATTTGGCGATCGATAGTTTGCTTACACATATAAATCAATGTATTTATATATTGAATCGTAATTTACAACATTTACATTACATCTGATTAAAAATGTTTCTTAAATTTCTTAAATAAATTGTTCTCGATGGTTTCTAATACACTGCATACGTATAATATAAACGCAAATTGACATTTACCACATAAATATTAATATATACTTATATTTATATTATGTATTGTATAAATATAGGTGTGTGTGTGTGTGTGTGTGTGTGTGTGTGTGTGTGTGCAATATATTAAATATTCATATCTAGAGAAAGTACATTGCTATATATTTCATTTCATTGGCAAAAAAAAAAGAATTATTCAGAATTATTGTACAAATATGTGTTGCGTAAAAAATATCATGTTAACAATCTCTCAAGCAATAATGTTGATAAATCGTGCTCCATTATAAAGCGAGACGCTGATGAAATCATGGATAATCTCACGCGCATCAGTACGTATCTTGGTTAATCGATCGTTGTCGACCAACAATCTTCGGTGTTTTTTGATTCCATCACGATCTTCGTGCCGAATCTGGACACGATGATAATAGTCCTGAGAGTATATGAAGCAGCCTGTTGTAGCTAGTGTCATCGAGTTCTCATCGAAACTCATCATGGTGAATACGAACAATATCCTCGCGGCATTTGCCATCACCTTTCTGGCCTCTTTATCTCTAAGTTCGGCTTACGCCAAGCACAACTTAGATATCCCTAATACCTTTGAGAAGCATCTCGATCATGAACTGCGACCATTTCTTCGGGAAAAGAGAGAGAAGGAAGCCGAAGTATTCCATCTAAGTAATAATAATCCTTTGGAATTAGAAGAAGAACCGTTGGAGCCAAAATCCATCTATGAGAGAAGAACGCTCGGAGAAGAGGCAAAGGACGTTGAAAAAAGCGAGGAGCAGGAGAAACTGAATATCGAGCCTAAAACAAACAACGATATTGCAGAAGAAGAGGTAGATGCTCAGGTAATAATTGAATGAAATATACAATAATATTTATTTATTGTCAGAATGAAATAATGAACCAGAATGAAAGTATAAATCTAAATTAGATTCTCTCTTCTTTCAGGATGACGTATTTTCGTACAGAAATATGCACGACCTCATCCAAGCATTGATTCTTGCGGATGAAGAGGACATTGCTGAGAGATTGCAACAATTGCGAGAGGTAAAGTGTATTATCATTACAATACCTATGTACAGTGCAATGCAGTGAATTTATTAAATTTAGCAAACCTCATTTGGGAGAGAAATTTGCAAAATTATTTTATTCATATTTAAATAATGAAGAAAGAAGACTGGAAAATACACATGGTTAATAATCTACGATATATATATTTCAAAATTTTAAACTTGACAAAATGGAAATGACGTGCTGCTTAAATGACTAAAGGTTCTTAATTCGTTTGCAGAATACTACGAAATCTGAGAGGTTTAGTAATTTGCCGAAGCGTCAAGCGGTCGCATCTGCAGCCGCAGCCGCAGCCGCAGCCGCATCAAACGGACTTGTCGGAGCGAATCTGTGGGATGTCGTACCTCTGGACGATCTGGATACTCACTCTTGCGAGGTCGAGGCTTTCTCACACGGTCACTTGCACGTATCGGGTACGATCGTGCACGAGTACTTCTGTGAGCTGAGGAAATGTTGGCACTACGTCCTGATCGTCTTGCGGAACTTGAGGTCCGGGCTTAGCTTGGGGCCATTGATAGCTGAGGATGTCTCCGACAACATCTTGGGCCATTTGTTTCATCACACCTCGCATCTTCTCCACGTCGTTATCAGTGAACCCCAGCATCTGCTGATTTTGCCCGATATAATTCAAGATGCCGTACCGTTTCCCAGCATCATTGGTGCCATTCACCGGGTCAGACACGTCTTCTTCAAAGTGCTGCACTTTGGGATCGATCTCTTCCGCACACACGTTCGTCATGTTCTCGCGCATTTGTTTTCTCATCTACGTTTGGGCCTGCTGCATCACTTGGGAAGATTCAGCTCGGTACTTCCGCTGGAGGAGATAGTCGCAGAACCGATCGTGTCTACAGCGGCGTCTGCGGCGTCTGCGGCGGCGGCAACGGCAACGGCGACGGCGACGGCGACTGCGGCCACCACCGGCGATAGCTCAATCATTGTTCCGGATTATCAGACATCATTGGCGGAAGTGCTATCTTCGTTCCGCGGCTTCTACCACGGTTACTACGCGTCCGGAGTACCTCATCTAATTAGAACTGGTGTAAGAGGCATCACTTTGCCCTCGGCGTTCTCCAGAATCGGCTCGTACTTGTCAAGAACACCCCTCTGTGGTAACTTTGGGTACGGACCGATTGAACAGAGCACCACTGCAGTGACGGCGTCCAGCGCGTCTAGCGCGTCGAGCTCCGTTGGTATTGGTAGTGGTAGTGGCCTGGTAGTAAGCCCAGCGATAGAACCGATAGCACCCGTCGTTCCTATTGAGACCGAAATTGGGAGCTCCTCGGCGTCCGCTACCGCCACCGCCACCGCCACCGTCGCCGAGACGCAGCCGGTATTTTCCGCTGGACCGACGATAGCGGAATCACCGGTACTATCAGGCTACCCGACTGCGTCTTTGATTCAACCGGAAGTCGTGCCCAGCGTTTTGGAGGAGAACGTGGCAGCCGCAAGCGCCTCCGCTGCGGCAAACGTCGTCTCGAGCCCAGTTGTTGGACGAGTGCCATTCACCCTGCCGTTGCGCAAATACAGACCCGCACCCGCGGCAGCGACCGTGCAGGCCGCAGCCGCAAGCGCGTCCGCTTCCACGGGAGGTGATCGCACCGTGCTCGGACCGTCTCCATATCGTGGCCTTGATCTGGGCATTGATCGCAGAATCAAATATCCACTGATTCGTTCGCGAGTCTTACCCGTCGTGGTTCCGTCATCCGCGGCTGCCGCCTCGTCTGCAGCCGCCGCATCGACCTCTTCGTCGGCTGCCGTGGCTAGCAGCTCTGCCATCTCCTCGGGTGGTTTCAACATTGTCCTGCCTAGAGAACAGATAATTAGCGCTCTCGGTTATGACTACCTACTGCCGGGCGACATCATTTCGGTCACCCTGAGGAACAAATCGATCCTGTTCGGCCGCGTACTCGACGCCACCAGCCCAATCACGTTCAGTTTCCTAAGACCGAAAATACGTGCCTCTTTACTCCACCACGGTGGACGGCTCTGGAAGCTCCTGCCTAGAGACTTCCGGGATCCCGAGTGCTATAGGAAATTTAACAATCCTCTACTCTTGCGTTACAGTCTTTAAATCTGTCATCATTCTGTGTGTGACATCACTATGACATCTCATGACTAGTCCTGAATTATTGCCGACATGTACCAAACAATCGATTGTATAATCGCTGGAGTCTCAATCATGTGAATAAAGATATGTTGAAATTGATTAAATTTACATTGATTTTTTCACAACGATTTCTTATTTTAATATTATATACCCGCAGCCAACGTTACATCCAAAATGCGAACATAAAACGATTTCAAAGATTGTTTCAAAACATATTATAAGATATCTTAAAGCAATCTTTAAGTATGTCTTCGAGATATCGTATGTCCGCATTTTGAACATAATGCTCTGTCTGGGTCTCCAGTTTTGCGAGTGTTACATTTATCTGTCTCGATATTCGAAATCGAGTAGCATTAGCTCAACGTTAACGTGCATAAAAGCGTTTATTAGTTTTATTCGTTTATTTTCTTTTATTTTCTTTCACTTTGAAGCACTTGCGGCAATTTTTATTTAAATATACGACGGTAGAAACAGATAATTCTTACGTATAATTCTTCCCTCAACTTCAACCCCCAATCCCTAAAAAATTTCGAATGGGAAAGTGGATCAAATGATACATTATTAGAAAAATCTTTCAATTCTCTACATTCCTACGTTTGATTTTTTTAAATTCGATCAATTCGTTTAGAATTTAGGAGATACAGAATGTTAAATCTGAAACAAACAAATCAATCAAGTTGCAGATCCTAAAGTCGTCTGTATTACCGATATGTTAACCGATAGGCTATCCAATCTCGTAGTTCAAATAATATAATAAACGGATAAATGTATAAAAGTAAATATAGTGATATATATACAGTATGACAAAACAATGATATATAATAGATTTTAGACATACATATACAATTTAAAACCTAACACATAAATACATCCTTTTAATTTTATAGAGTAGCAAGAAAATTATTGATATACCGTGGCGAATAAAAATGAAATTATAAAAATTATTAATATTACACACAGCTTTAATATAACTTGCGTCATTAATTAAATCATACGAGGAATAATTGATAAATGAATTGTTGACAAAATGTATTTGTGTGTACATCGCCATCTGCAAGACTGCCATCACTGATTGGTAATTTTATACAAAAATTAACTCATATTTTTCATACTTTTTGTGCAATAAAATATTTTGAGCAAAGAAATATTGTTATGCCAGGCGTTTTACGACATTTAGTACATAATTTCGTTGAATCAGTAATTAACAGTTTTAATTCATCATTCATCACTCGCATTAATTATCACATGAAAGGACGCTATTATTAGTCAAGTTATTAGCTCAGGTGTGATAATAGTTGGAATAATAAGCTGGCATTCATGCAACAGACACAATGAACAAATTTCGGCCAATATATAAGCGTTGAATCGTCATTGCGCCCTACGATTTACCGATTTCTCTCTGACAGAGAATTTGGCACATCTCTTCAATCTCGTCACTCATTGTCAGTCATTCCTTTTAAATCGCGATGGTACGCGTTGCTCTTCTAGTGACCGTTCTGGCGGCCCTGTGTTACACGAGCCAGGTAAGCTACATTTCGCAAATGCAAAAAATTGTTTTGCTATTCAGAAATGCAAAGAATAGCGAGAGAAGAAGAGTTGCTGAATATTGTAATTGTGCTAAAATCGATTATGAATAATACATCTTTTTCAAAATATCTTAATTTTACTTAAAATCAGATTATTTTAAATAACAAAACATACATCATACTGTGAAATATAACTAAACCTTGTTTTTATCAATCGCTTATTAGGCTTCGGCTATCCCGACTGTTATCCCGACTCAAGTTAGAAATACGGAATTTGAATTGCGCAAGGGAATCTCCGATCAGATACAACAAATACTTGACCTTATTCCTAAGGAAGTGCAAGACAAAATTGAGGCTTTAAAGAACAAATTCACGGAAAGTTTCCAACAATTCGCCAACGAAGCCGAGAAAGGGAAAACGACCGCCATAAACGTATTCGAGAAAGCTAAAGAAAATGCCAAGAAACTGTTACAAGAGGGAAAGAAAAATGTAAACCAAGTTCTCGAAAAGCTCAAGAATGTGGAACAAGAAATCGTGACAAATTATCAGTATACGCTGAATGATGGAATTCAGAACATTAAGGACACCCTTGGGAAGTTGATTAAGGAGGAATTGAAACAGAAACTGCAGGAGAGACTCGATTCATTTCAAGGAAGGGTAAAAGAGATCATGGAGGGGGTATTAGGAAAGAAGCAAAGTGGCGATGAATTCGATAATACCCTAAAGAAGGGCAAAAGCATTGTGAACGGTGTCCAAGACAAATTGACAGAAAGCTTGAAGAAGATTATGAATTATGCCAATGAGGTCGTCAAGAAATTTGAAGGAAATGCAAACGAAATCCTGGAGAAGAATGATAAAGTGAAAGAGTTGAAAAACATTCTGGATAAATCCGTTGACAAATTAACAGAAGCAATAAAGAATGTCAAAGACGAAGCCGGTAAGGTAAAGAGATCGGTCAGCGATGTTATAATAACGACGGATAGACAACAGGCAAAAGGCATATTCGGAGGGCTCTTTGACGTGGGCAAAAACTTGGTGGAGGGCGGAAAAAAGGGAGCGAGAGATATGATAGGCGGTGGACTAGATCATACCAAGGACATCGTAGATGACATCCACAAGTTTCTGGATACCGTATTGGCACCAGGACAGGGGATGGAAGAAACACATGTTGAAGACAGTACTAAAGAAGAAAATAATGAAGACGAATAAAAAACATGTTAAAGACAGTACTGAAGAAGAAAATAATGAGACTGAAAGATAATTAATTCTCTCTCTCGGCCGCGATATCAGAAACACGACTCTTATTACCTTGATTATATTCAAAATTAATGTGTTCTTGGGAGAAGCCACACACACACACACACAAACTGGAGTTTCAATTTCAAAAATTCTTCGAAATTCCATAGTTTCTTCAATAATTTGGCATTTTACAGAAAATTTCGCCTAGTGAGCAAAATCTGTAACATATCTCTTATTTCGATTTTCAAGGGTCTTGACGCCAATTAATCTTTTAATTAATCTGATTGTATGGTGTCTTCGTCCTGCTGGAAGTCTGCAGTCTTACCTACAAGGACATCTTTTTCAGGCTCATTCAAGTTATGCAACGCTTATCACAATTGTATTGATATTCATGAACACAAATAAAAAGACACGCATGTTTTAATATTGTGACAAAATTCGCTTTATCCCCAAAGCACATGCACTCTAAAAGTTTTAAAGTTTTAATGAAATAAAAAAGATGCCGTTATATATAACATATATATATATATAGAGGAAAAGATAGTATTATGGCACCCCATTTACATTTTAGAGGAGAAGGTAGTAAGTATTATTATGGTACCCTATTTACATTTTATACAATAACTTGGTTAATGATTAATATTAAAATTTAAAACTTGACAATTACATTTGTTAAAATGATGTCCAATCGATTCTAAACTCAAAGTTACAAAACATTTATTACTTAGGACGCTATTTATAAAAATTTGGCGACATTGCATAATGGCTCGAAGAGAAATAGGAGTGGTAATATGGCCTTCCACAAAAATAGATTTAAGAAATCGGTCTTGTTTAAAAAGCAGTATTTGGTTACAAAATTAACAGAAAAGTATAAGTACTATGGAGTGTATGTGTAATGTACTCGTTTCGCATATAGGCTGCTTATATAATACTAAAAATCTATATTTATACATACGTAACGTAATATAAACTACATATACTCGTAGATTAACAATAGAGCTGCAATCGATTTATGGAACAATTGATTTGATATGAAAAGCTCGAAAAAGATACTGTCGGCATGTTTACGAGGTCACGTTAGCAAAATGCCATACTATCGTTTAACGTTGCATAACTCGAAATGTATACAGCTAAATAAAATGTTAAATGACGTGTCTCTCTAGACGGTTTCATCTCGCCGCGTGCTTGCATTTGGCGGTAGGTTGAGCAAATTTGGAAATTTTCATAAATTAGTATAACTCGTCGACTAATGCGAAAAATGCAAAATGGTAGAGAACTTTTCTACTTACAATTAATTTAGTCCATTCTGGCCTCTATACGAGAGTTTTATCATTAATTATCAGACACCCTGTATATATGTTTGTGTGATAATATGCTCAAGTTTAAGAAGAATGAGAAAGTATGTGTAACTGAATGCTAAAATGTACCTTAAAAACATGTTTAAAAGTAAAAATGCGTCATAATAAATGCTCACTATTGTGTATTAGCATATTAGCGTTATGATAACAATCATAGTAACAGCAAGTTATTGAAAAAATTTCATAAGTATAATCATCATAGAATTTGCAATCTAATATTAGCGGAGATATTATAAGAAAGGCTATTATATAATATCTATACTGGCCATAATACCTGCACCTTCTCCTATATATGTATGTACTTAAGCATGTATGTGACGAAATTATTTCCATTATTAAACATATACACTTTATGTTTATCGGATCACGTTAAAAGCAGACTTAAAATAATTACACAATTTTAAATTAATTCACAAATCGTTTATCGCTATCGAATATTCGAGTAAAGGAAGAAGACAGGAAGAAAACTTTCATCAAAGCGATTCACAAATAAAAGTTATGTCAGTTAGGTCAAGGCTTTTAATAATCAATGATAGTCGCTAGGTTAAAATCTTGAATAAACAACTCGCTATGTGTGTCACACACACATTAAAAGATTAGAATTATCCGAAGTATATAAATGTCGTATTGGGGCGTATAATTGATCGTGAGTAAATTAAATAAAATTTCATGAAAGAATAAAATTTTTTCCTTCATATTTTTTAAATATATTATTATTTTCTGTTTTTTAAATCTCAGCTTTACGGAGAGAGAGAGAGAGAGAATTAAATTATAAAAAAAGAAAATAGAATAAAATTTACTTTTTTGAATAATCAATTCTTGAGTACTGTTATTTATCTTTATATAAGAAAAATATAAGTTTATAACAAATGTTGATGTTTATCGTACCACAATTCATGTAACATTCATGACATTCGTGTAATATTACACATACATATGTCTATGTTACATGTTTTGATTTGATGGAAAAGTCGCCCGAGTGCACTGTACCCGTTGCACTCCGGCTTGAAACGGCCCTGATATGTATATTATAGAGTGTTAAATATATGATATCAAATAAACACTGTTTGGAAAAGACTATGATCTTATCTTTCTGCCCCTCGCTCTTGAAAAGTGTGAGTTGGACGTCATCTCGGAGTCAGCAATTCGGTTGCACGCATACCTATGTACATGCATGTACATTTGTCTAAATCTAAAATATACATCTTTATCCGGTTGGTGTAACGTTTTATGGAGGGAGGAATAGATGGCAGTTAAAATTGATAATCACAATCTCGCCTTGAACTTTGACCTTTTCATCCGAAACCATCCATTCGTTTTGAATCGTGTGTAAGTTAATTATAATAAAGCTCATTATGAACTGTCTATAAATAACGGAAATGTCTTTTGTTATAGTAAAATAAAATATCAGACAATTACATTAAATTATACATTTTTTATTAAATAAAGTTAGTTGTAGTAGGAAACTTCTGTTATAAACATTCTCCAAGATAGAATGTATACATTATAATCTGCATCAGAGAGAGAGAGAGAGAGAGAGAGAGAGTCAGTACGCATATCTTGTGAATGAATAAGAGATTTTCTTTCGGAGGGTTTTTGTCTACTCATAAATTATTATAAATCTTAGTATACGAAAGCATTCTTCGATAAGATGTATCCCTTATCGCATAAATTTCTAGAAAAGAGTCTAATATTTCTTTTCTAGAAGAAATTATAAAAGTAGCGTTATTGTTTACAAGTTAATCTTGACTTGAAATTCTTGTACTCTTAGCAATTATTGACTTTACGGATTGTTAAATTTTATAATCTATTCATTTGATCCTATCAACGGGTTATTAATTTTGGGCGTGCTTATTTTATGTCATTAATTAGTTGATTTATTAATACGTGCTACTAATCATTTTACGTTTTACTGTGATTTGGAAATATAATCAGAGAATGATGAATTATCGTGATTTTTGAAAAACAGTTAAACTTTAGTTAAAGGTACCAACTTAATATTTAAAATCACAAATTGAGAAAGTATTTCTCAATTATTTCATCTCTCTCTTAAGAGGAAATAATAAATATTTGATGTGTTAAAGTTTTACGAAAAGATTTTATATTTGCAAAGAATTAAGTATTATGTGCTTTATAACAACAATTGTAAATGAAGAATTAACTATTGCGTGCATTTAATAAAGAAACGTTAATTATAATTAATTTTAATTTCTTTTGCGATAAATATAAAACTCTTGCTAAATGTATAATAACAATTTGTTCGTCCAACTAAGTAAAACACGTACACACACAATTATGTGTGAGTGTGTGTGTGTGTGTATTTACACATTACGAAAAGAAAATTAAATTTTTTTAAGCTAAGTTAAATGTTTATTAATCATTTCAAATTTTGACAAAAAATTTTATACATGCATAATACGTACGTATGTACATTAAATTATTATAGTTAATGTATGTATATCGAATTTCTCTCCAGAAAAGATTTTTGAAAGAGATCAACCTATTATTTTTTAAAAGACAACGTCATTAAAAATAATTTTTTAGAATAAAAATCATAATCACCATGAAGAAATAATTCAATATAATATTATAATAATAATGAATATAATATACAATATATAAAATAATCACGTAAAACTTGAGTTGTAAATAGCAATAAGCTCCGTTTCTTTTATCTATTTATCATTATTTGTATTAGTTGAGCAACATTTTAGGAACAAAATTATAAAATGAGCTTTATATGTATAAATATTTAAAACAAACACTGTTTCTGGAAATGCCGAGCATCTTGAAGCAAGTGCAGATTCAAATAAGTATATGTAAAGCGGCCTTCTATGCAGCGAAAGAAACGCAGGTCGTTGTCGTCGAAGTGAGATAATAAGCACTTTGCCCCCTTCGATAAGAAACGCCTATAAAAGGGAGTATAATCCTCCATTCTACGCATCAGTTGTTTCCTAATCGACCAAGGAGAAAATACCAGCGTGAAATGAGGTACTTACTTTCGGTTATCTTAGCCGTCCTCTTGGTCACAACAGAGGGCAAAGTTGTACCAACTAGTGATGTCGAGAATCAGCAGACTGACACGCAACCTCTTCAATTGTCCGACCACATCAGAGAGGCCCAAAATCTCATCAACAACTTGGGCGCTCAACTTCAACAGCAGCTAAATCCTCCCGATCAAAAGGATTTCAATACAGCTATTAAGGAGGAAACCACCAACTTAGTCAGCAATGTCCAAATGTTCTTGAAGAATATATCTGATGAGGTAAACTCGAATCATTTACACACACACACACACACACACACACCACATACATATTTTTTACATACTTGGTACGTTAAATGTGTTTCATTGCAATTCGACCAAGCAAATGTTCGAGCGATTGTTGAAATGCATTTTGTATTTCGATATATCAATTTTATGGAAATTATATTCGCTTGGTATGTTACGACTCGTTCTTCTAAATGTAGGTATATGAAGATTAAAGGCTGACTTATTTGTTCGCAGTATCGGCGCGCTACATCCTCGCATACCTAGAGACCTAGAGCATATAAGACGTATATTTTCGAAATTAAAGATAAAACATCGTCACACCGGCTAATTTTCCACAT